AAAAAATGTGGCCCAAAGGCACTTCCTTGCTAACACAAAGACAGCAAGTTACCCTCCAAGGGGTGACTCTTGTGACCTTTATGCAGGCCAAAGTTCCAGAACTCAGGACAGGATTATTAGAAGTAAGCCCACCAACCATAGAATCTGTAAGAACAAGTTGCAATTGGAACATGTCAGCATAGGCTACTGTGACACAGAATTGCCTTTGGAAATTTTGCATGTCATTATAATAGTAAAATTTCACCTCCCTGGGTTTTGCCTGCATGCCTGTGGGTAATAGCATGTGCAGTGGAGATTAGGAAATCTGGTGCAATCCCATTGTCAGTCAAAAGTCCAAAGCTGGACTCAGGCAGGAATCTCTGGAAATTTCTCTGAGACACTCAATGAAACTGAAGGGCAGTATCTGGTGTTGCACCATCCCTCTCCTCTCTGAGAGGACCCACTCTCTACTTTTTTCCCCTTAACAATGTCCCTTTTAGCTTTTTAATTTCCCTTATAAACTGCTGCTTACTATTACCATGTGTGGCTTGATTGAATTTTTTCCTGTGAGTTGCAAAGAGCAGGTGGTCACAAGTGACCACTTTGGTTCTGTGGATGGACCTTGCTCTGTAACAAAATAAGTTAACTTTTACATTTTATTTATGTCTTTTTTGTTCTTGTGGTTTTGGATAATTTGTATGTCTACTGAGGTCCATATTTTTCCTGTTATCTAGTTGATATTACAAGAGTAGTGTTAAGCAAGTGAAATAATGAAGCATTGTTTATATAAACAAAATATATTGATTTAATTATAGTTTAAAATTTAAATTATTATGTATAATAGTCCACTATTTAAAGAATCAGCATGAGGTCTCATTAACATGAAAACCACTGTCCAAGAATAATTTTTATGCCACTTTTTTTTAAGTATTTAATACTGATACTTTTCCAAATGAATAAAGCAAGCCAGGTGCAATGGCACAAGCCTAGAATTACACCTTCTGTGAAGGCTGAGGCAAAAGGGTCATAATTTTGAGTCTAGGCTCAGCAATTTAATGAGATCCAACTCAGCAAGACCAATCTCAAAATTAAAAAAAAATAGAAAGGGACAGAGATGTAACTCAGTAATAAAGCACCCCTGGGTTGAGTCCCCAGTACCTGCCCCCCACCACAAGAAAAAAACGTATGGAATGTTTTAGCATAGTGAACCACTAGGAAAAAAATGCAATATGTGACTATTATGCATTAAAGTGATTATTTAAATAAAAAAAATTTCCTGTCTTAAAAGTTTACTTAGAACTAGATAGTAATGGTGAGATTATTATATATATTTAATGGCATATTATTTTAGTAATTATACTTTTTAAAATAAAATAATTTAGACAAGATTTTTGAAGTATATATTTCTGTGTCTAAAATTAAAAATGTCATAATGGGTTTAAATAACTTGATATTTATGTTTTGCACAAAACAGATTTAAACATCAGGCCATATATAGGTGATAGAAATCTTCCCTTCTTCATATTTATTTTTCATCTATCTTATCATTTGAATTCAAGCTAGTTAAATATTTTGAGAAGGATTTTTCATACACTAAAATGGTTCTTCTAAGCCAAACTAATCAGATTAGTTACAGCTCAGGGAAGAGTTTGCAAAATCATAATTCTATTGTGGCCTTGTGCTTTCCTATTTGCTGCTTTTATTTTTATATCACTGAAAGTACATCTCACACAATAGCTTTATAAAAAATTAAAATCATGCCTCTAGAAAAAGTATACTTTGTATGCTTTAGCACTAAGCAAAATATTCTACCAATAAAATCTGATGCTTGTGTTCAGCTTCTAAAAGGATTTGGAATTCAGAGATCATCTTAGAAAATGAGTGAGTCAAATCAGGTGAACTCCAAACTTCATCTAAATTAAATCCTGCCATTTCAACTTCACATATTAACATTAATTGACTAGTACCTCAAATTTAAATGAATTTAATCCACAGGGATTGTATGCTATTCCAGAATCTGTTGTATATTAAATTAACACAAGTTTATTACCATATTGAGTATCTTATTGATTAAAATGCAAGAAAATCAATTTATTTAAAATGCATAACTACATAATCTGTTTTATATATTGAAAG